GCCCTCCTTTGGCTGCTAAGGCTCGGCCACGAAGGCGATCAGCTCCTCACCGGCGAGGTTGAAGGTGTCGAACCACTCGGTGAACTCGGGTTCCAAGGTCCACCTTGGCATGACGCGCACCACGGGGTTCTTGCGCATGGACTTCGGGAAGCGCCGCTGGATCTTCATGTCGGCTTCGGAGATTTCTCGGAAAGCTGATCTCAGAGGAACTCGGAGGGGGTCTTGGCTTCCGCTGGGGGTTTTCGCCTTCCTTTAGGAGTGTGCGTCACTGAGGGTGTGTGTGATTGACCACGTGTGTGTGTGTGTGTTTGAGAGAGAGATCAAGATAGATAGATAGAGGGAATGTGTGTGCGAGTGAGTTTGCGTGAGTGTGTGAGTATCTGTATGCGTGCATGTTTGTTTGTCGGTGTCTGTGTGTATGCGAGGGAGAGAGAGAATGTATGTGCGAGTGAGTTGACATGTGTGTATATGTGTTTATATGCGTGTTTGTTTATTTGTGTGTGTGTGTGTTAGCATGTGTGTGTGAGTGTTTGTATGCTCGTTTGTTTTTTTGTGTATGTGTGTGTATGAGATAGAGAGAGATAGAGATAAAAATAGATAGACAGAGAATATGTAAGCAAGTGAATTGACATGGGCGTGTGTGTTTGTTTGTGAGTGCGTGTGTAAGCATGTGTATATGTGTGAGAGTTTGTGTGTGATAATTGATGCAAATGATAATGATAATAGTAAAAATTATCGTAATGATAATGGTGATAACAATGATAATAATAATAATAATATCAATAATATTGATAATGGTAGAGTAATGATAACAATGATAATAATAAAAACAATAATAATAAGATGATAAAAACAATGATAATGAAAATGATGATGCTGTTCATAATAATTATAATAATGATAATAATAATAATAATAATAAGCATAATGATAACAACAACAGCAATAATGATGATAATAGTGATAATACTAATAATAATAACAATAATAAAATTAACAATGATAATATAATAGGAATAATGATAATAACAGTATCAATAATGGTAATAATATTAATAATGATAAGAATAATAACAGTAATAATAGTAATGAGGCTGATAATATTAAAGATAATGATAATAATTGAATAATGATACTAATGATAACAATAGTAAGGATAGAATTAATAATATACATAATAGTAATAATAATAATAATAATAATAATAATGATTATTATTATTATGATTATAATAATTATAATGATAATGATAATAAGAATTATAATAATGATAATAAAAAAGTTAATGATGACGATGATGATAAAGAAAATAATAATAATAATGATTAATAACATTCTAATAACGGTAAAATTGGTAATAATGATATTACTACTACTACTACTAATAATAATATTAATGATAATGGTATTAACAATAATAATTGTGATTATTATAACAACGATGATAAAGATAATGATAACAATAGTTACAACAATAACAATAACAAGAACAAAAATGATGATAATAATGATGATCATCATCATCATCATGAAGATGATTCTAATTATAATGATAATGATAATAATAATAATGGCAATATAAAAAATAATAATGATAACAGCAATCATAATAATAATGGTAATGATAACAATACTAATAATGATAAAATAACAACAATAACAATATTGGTAATGATAGCAATTATGATAACAATAAGAATACTAATGAAAACAATAATAATGATGATAATGATAATAATGACAATAACAATAATGATTATGATGATAATAATGATAATAATAATAATAATTAATAATAATACCGAACACCGAACGATACTTGTTTTTTTATACTTTTTCATGGATTTTGAACCAAAATTTAATAATGATTATGATAATAATAATAGTAATGACAACAACAATACTGATAATAATAATAATAATGATAATGATAATAACGATTATAATGCTAATAATGATAATGATTATAATGAGGATAATATAAACAACAATGATAATAATAATAATGATAATGATAACAATACTAACAGTAATAATTATGATAATGATAACAATAAAGATAATCATAATGGTGATGAGAATGATAATAATAACAATCATAATGATAGTGGTAATGATAATGACAATGATGATAATGATAACCATAGCAATGATAAAAGTAGAAAAATAGCAATAGTGAATACAATAATAATCCTTCATCTATATTATCGATATTTCTTGCAGGCGAAAAAAAAAAAAAAAAAAAAAAAAAAAAAAAAAAAAATATATATATATATATATATATATATATATATATATATATATATATATATATATATGTGTGTGTGTGTGTGTGTGTGTGTGTGGTGTGTGTGTGTGTGTGTGTGTGTGTGTGTGTGTTGTATATATATATATATATATATATATGTGTGTGTGTGTGTGTGTGTGTGTGTGTGTGTGTGTGTGTGTGTGGTGTGTGTGTGTGTGTGTGTGTGTATGTATGTATGTATGTATGTATTAT